AAAACGTGTGAAACAAGTACTGTGTAAATCGGGGGATAGGTGTATATTACTCTGTATTTGTGAAATCATTTTAAAAATATTTCTTTGCTTGCTTGTTCAAGATTCTCTAGTTGTAGATAGTTTTGTTAATTTGTTGATAATTGTCGACTAGTCGCCGTGACGTCATCAATAAATACCTTTACATCTTCAGATATACAAAGACTTGATTTCTACGTTACAATATGTTTAACGGTGATTAATTTACATATTTTCTCTTATATTGATTATATAACCGTTTAGAAATTGATTATATAAATATTATAAATATTTACTCTCTAAAGGTGGAAGATGTGGGGTGTTATTTGAGTAAAATAGGTAAAATAATTGATATATGAGTAAATAACACTATAATAAATTTTGCAAAGTGCAAATGCTCTTAGCAAAAAAAAATAATTCACCCTTAATAATTCACCCTTTCATACCTCATCCAAAAAGGTTAGAAATAGTCGATATTTCACCTTGAAATAAAATATTTTGATATTTCGTTGAAAAGAAACTCATGCGGTGTAACTTCAAGTGTCGTTTTACAATCACAGGCCGCAGTGTATTATATTGTATAAGAAAAAGAATTGTAATCAAGATCAAGAACACTGAATACTTTTAAATGCAGGGTATATCACAATTCATTTTAATACAATAGTGAAGCGGTCTGTAGATTAAAATGTTGAAACCGCTGAGAGGGTTCACCACTGAGGAATTATGCCTTTCCTCCTTAAAATTTAATCATTGCAGTATAAAAAAGGGCTATAAAATAGGTTTTAAATATATATGTTTAAAAAATAGCGCTTGAAATATATTTCTAATATATTCATATGTTTTCCTTCAAGAAATAGCAATCCGCAAAAAGATATTTGATTATATATATTAAAAGGCAATATATATTGGATTAAAAAAATTGTTAACCAATATTTCAGTTGACTGAATGCCAACCTTTTTCAAGGTACAACAACGTTATTACAACTACTTGTATTACTTGTTTTTGTACCTTGAAAAAGGTTGGCGTTCATCCAACTGAAATATTGGTACAGTTAAACCTATCTATAGCGTTTCCTCTCGGGACTCATCAAAATAGGGTGCTTTAGAGAGGGGGTGCTATAGACAGGTCACTTTTAATGTAAATCGCATCGTACTACGTATTTAAAATCGGGTGCTATAGAGAGGGAGGCGCTATTTAGAGGGGACGCTATAGACAGGTTTAACGGTATATAATTTTTTTTATCCA